GTTGCCCCCCCCCCCCCCTTTAAGTTCAAACAGTTGCATTTAATATCAATTTAAATTATAATACATTTGATTTAATTGCAATTAACATACACTTTCACTTTGCATTTTGATTCTATTAAAGTGTATTATTTTTGTAAAAGGTAAACTTTTTTTTGGTGGTATAAGAGTTTTTTTGGGATGAAAAGTATGCTAGAATGTACTTCTCTGTATTTGTCCTTAATTTTCTTTTCTTATTTCTCATTCTTTCAGGAGAACTTAAGAAAACCTAACGACAGATTTCCAAACGAATGCAGTCTGAACGTACCCATGGAGGCCGAACGGATGTCCCACTATTCACGTCCTCCGCAGAACGGCGACATGTGTCTTTCACTGAAACAATTCTTCACATCTTTTGTTTTGGTAAATCGCAGATAGTCTGTAAATGATATCCTTAAAGAGATAGTTCACCCAAAAATGAAAATGTTGTCATCATTTACTCACCCTCAAGTTGTTCCAAACATGTATGAGCTTTTTTCTTCTGTTAAACACAAAAGAAGATCATTTGAAGAATGTTGGTAACCAAACAGTTGAAGGTAGCCATTGATTTCCACATTATGGAATATAAATACTATGAAAGTCAATCAACTGTTTGCTTACCAACATTCTTCAAATTATCTTTTTTTTTTTTTTTTTCAACTTGAGGGTGGGTAAATGATGACATAATTATACATTTTTTTTGGTTGAACTATCCCTTTATTGTTTGTAAATGCTTTGTAATTTATCTTGACGCAAACGACAATTTAAATATGTTCATTTTTGATCAACTTGAAATGTTTTACTAGATTTACTCTTATTTTATACAGGCTTTGTCTTGAATAAGCTCAAATAAATTTTTGCTGTAAATGATTGGCAGTTTATTTCTTTTTAGTTTGTCTTCACACTATATTTGATTGCGAGTGTAACAGGATCAGGTACGTGTTCTTGAAATCGAAAGCCTTTTTCTTATTCTGGAATCTGTATCAAGTGTGAATCTGTTCATGTTTGTATGATCAGTAGGGTGAAACTTGTTCATTGATCATGGATTCTTGCCAGAGATGGAAATAAAACAACGACTTTTGGCATAATAGTCATTTATTAAAATATGATGGAAAGATTCCAAGAGCTTGTATGGAAACTCTTTATGGCAAGAGGTTACATCAGAGATGCGGGTCTGACTGCGGCTTCCAGCGCACAAACGAGAATCCCAAACCAAACATTCAGGCAGGTAAGCACACATCCAACGCAGCTGCAGGACTTCTGGTTGTGGGGAACAAAATAGGAACGAGGGGCACTGGATTTCTGAAGATTGTCGGTCTGATCAACACATAACACAGTAGAGTCACAAAACGAAGCAAATACAAACCAATTTCCCTAGAATTGATAAAGAAGTGGCCTTATGTACAGATGGGGGCGTAGATGCCATGCAGCAAATATGGATTAAAGCTGTTATGCTCATACAAAATACTTTCTACAGCATTTTTGTCTGAAATAATTTACATTGATAAGGTGTGTAACATCAGAAAGATCATTACAAAAATGCGTGATGATTGAGTTAAGTCACCATTTTGGTCATTTTCACTGCTTTTTAAATCAACACATTTCATTTCAGGTGTGATACAACAGCCACCTAAACAGTTTTTACTGTGTGGACGAAACTTTTTGACCTTTTAAAGTCAACACGAAATGCCATTTGCGACCCAATTTACTTCTGTATTGTGACATTTTTCCATGTAAAGCAGGTAATTTCATCAGGAAAACTATGGCGGAGTGGCCGTCACATGCAAAAATAGAGCTGAATGTGAGTTTGCAGTGGATTTTGGGAAACTACTTCCCTTCTGAAACACCAGCACCTATTTTTGAGGAGACTTTTCATAGGAAAATGAAGGCTGAAGGTCAAGTCTGTCGTGAAAAGTGCATCTTGATGTATGCTAATGGTAAGGTTTCTTAAAAAAAAAAAATGTTTCATTATCATTTGCAATTATTACAGTACTGTTTATTTATATTAATCTTAATTTTGATTCATTTACTGCTTTTATTTTGCTTGGTTTCTTTTCCTTCGGTTTTGTTTTGCTTGTCTTTGATTTTGCTTTGTTTTGCTTTGTTCTGCTTTCCCTTCCTCTGCTCTTTTGTCTTCAATCTGCTTTTTGTTTGTTTTGTTGTTTTGCTTTTTGTTTTGTTTTGCTTCAATTTGCTTTTTGTTTTGTTTTTTATTCTGTTTTGTTTTCCTTTTTGTTTGTTTTGCTTCAGTTTGCTTTTTGTTTTGTTGCTTTGCTTTTTGTTTTCCTTTCCTCTGCTTTTGTTTTGTTTGCCTTTTTTTTTTGCTTTTCTTTGTAATTAAATAATATTGGCCATAACATAACATTATTTTCTGTCCTAGGTGACACCAACCTGATAGATATGGAAGTAAATTTGATCAATTTTGATTTCATGTTGACGTTAACACCAATTTTATATAATACAGTCAAATGAAGCGTTCAGGAAGAACAACGGCAGTCCCCAAGTATCAAAGCTCGCATCCGTTCATTGTGAAGCAAACAGGTAAGTACAAGTGAAGGACAGACGCTGTCTTTGGTATAGAACACAAACGCTATCATAAAAACATTCAGTGAAATCCCACGATACTCTTGATATTTTACAGTGGCAGGACTGATGGTTGTTTAATGTGAATCACTCAATCGCCATTTAGCTCCATAACTGCATCTCATATCTACATTTTTCAAAACGTGCTACAGTAAACAAATACATTTAGTCATGACCCCACCCCACTGTGCAGGAACACATGGATGAAACCAGAACAATAAATTAAGCTTAACCAGTGACGTACATTTCAAACGTAGAATGTAAAAACAGATATCCACAGAAATAAACCAGCACAATTTAGAAAAAAAAAAAAAAAGCAATTCGAAACTCAGTATTAAGTGAGATTCCTCTCTGATTTAGTGTCTCACGACATAATTAAGTACTGGTTAATAAAAATGAAAACTGTACACACCTAAGAAAGCAAACAAGAGGAATATAATCTTTTCTGAACGGTTTCGTTTTTATATGAAATCATTGCTTTGCAATTGAACGCATCACAGTTATCTCCCACATGACCACATGAATGTAAACACCTCATTTCTTTTCAATTGTATAACATTAATACTTTATATATATATATGTGTACTTTTTATTTTACATATCATAATTCACATCAGCACGGTTAGCTAGCATGGAAATGAAATAAGGCAAGACTCACATGACTGTGACATCACAAATTATTAATACTGATAGTTAAGGTTGTTTTTTTTTTTCTTCCTTTTTTCTCTGCAGGCTTTGGTCTTGTGTTGACGGAGGCGGTAATTCTTCATACTGACTCTGAGACTGCACTTTATTCACGTTCACATTTGTTGATGAGCAAACTGCAAAATATTCCAACCGAGCAGAAAAATCTACACCAAAAAAAGAAAAAGGTGTGTTGTGAGGTAAATGTTTTTAAGCATTTTTTGAGGGTGAACCTTCCAGGTCACACTGCATCCCACAAATTCAAAAAATAAGAAATTATTTTTAAATTATATTTTTATAGTTGCATTTCTTTGGTAATTTTTAATAATTATTAATTCCTGTTTCCATGACAATTCAGCATTTTTACTCCCAAAATTTTGTTTATTATGAATTATTTCATTAAATTAATAATAAAATTGTTAAGAATTATTCATTTTTATTTTCATGACAATTTAGCGTTTTTACAACCAAAATTGTTTTATTACGTATTTAATTTTTATTATGTCATGACAATTTAGCATTTTATTCCCAAAATACTGTTTTATTGTGAGTTGTTATATTTTTATTAATTGTCATGACAATGTAGCACATTTAACTCCAAAATTCCTTTTAATATGAATTATTTGAATTAAATTAATAATAAAATTGTTAATAATTAATAATTCTTGTTTTCATGACAACTTAGCATTTAGCACATTTACTTCCAAAATTCATTTTGTATTGTGAATTACTTTTTATTCAATAATCATTATTTCAGTTGACTTTGAATAAAAATACGATTAAATACGACCCAGATGTGTTCTTGACAGGTTTTGGGATTTTCATCCTTTTCTTTTCCACTTTTGGAGAGAAAATATTGGTAAAAGCAGCCTCAGAGTGACAAAGAAGAAATGGCTGCCCATTTGAAAAGAGAAATAGGATGCGTTGGAATAAAGTCTTGGTTGGCGCTAATGGGGGTAATGGCTGGTTGTCCATCTTACCTCTGCCTACTGGCTCCGGCCCAGCTTGTGTGCCTTAAAACAGACAGAGGAAGGCCACATGGCCAGGCCCTAATGGAAACTTTGGGTCAATGCTGGCAATTCCAGTCTTGAAAGAGCGCCCAGTCCTTTCCCGGTAATCTTAAACCCGCCACCTCAAGTCTGAGTGTAAGGTGGACGTTTCGATCAGCTGCACACAGAACAAATAACGACTGACAGTCGTGGTTCGACAATACTATGACAAATCCACAGCCTGGAGGTCATTATAACTCTTGATTCGTTCATTTCATTTCTTTACCAGAAATGCATCTACCCTTCGAGCCAAACCCTCGCGTTCAGGTTTTCAGGTCCAAAGTGTCCGGCTCACCGCAAACCCATGCAGTCAGTGCGCATGTCGTGCACATTTCATCGTCTGGGGATGATGCTGGACTGAGGTGGTTCTGGGAGCAGTGTGTGCGATGTGTCGAGACGAAAGGCTCGCCGCCGGTCCTCAGGCACGTTTGGCGTGCAGCATCTCTATAAGTAGATTGTTACAGGGCACGTCACCGTTCAGGTGTTTGTAGTACAGATACTCCTCGGCCTGCAGGCTGATGGCCCGGATCTCCGGCAGCCGCAGCAGCAGCTGGCCGAACTTGTCTGTCTGCTGAGGATAGTTGCACATGACGTAGTCCAGCAGCGCTGCGTTGACCTGTTCCTGGACGCTCTCCACCAGGTGGAAGTTCTCCAGGTTCTTGACGTCTGATGAGATGAGATAAAGACAATTTTGTGGTTACTGAAATGTTTTATGTAATGTTTTAAATGTTGGTGTTTTATACACTACTGGTCAAAAGTTTACAATAGTTGTATTTTTTTATTCTTTTTAATGTTTTTGATAATCAGAATCAGAAAACCAGACTTAAAGTCTCATATGCTTACCAAGGCTGCACTTATTTGATCAAAAATACAGTAATATTGTGAAATGTTACTGCAATTTAAAATAACTAAAAGCTGAATTTCCAGCATCATTACTCCAGTCTTCAGTGCCACATGAACCCGCAACCTTCTGGTTATAAGTCCAACTCTCTAACCATTAGGCCACGACTGCCCCTAAATGCAGCCTTTGCGGGCATAAAAGACATCTTTCAAAAGCATAATATACAGGTACATCTAAAAAAATTAGAATATCATGAAAAAGGTCAATATTTTTTGTCACTCATTTCAGAAAGTGAAACCCATATATTATATAGATTCATTACACATAGAGTGAAATATTTCAAGCCTTTATTTCTTGAAATTTTGATGATTATGGCTTACAGATAATGAAAACCCAAAATTCAGTGTCTCAGAAAATTAGAATATTACATAAGATCAATAAAAAAAGGATATTTTAAACAGAAATGTCAGGCTTCTGAAAGAGCATCTCCATAAAGCTTGTCAGCTGAAGGAAGCATGAAGTGCTCTAAAATTTCCTGGTAGATGGCTGCGTTGACTGTGGACTTCAGAAAACACAGTGGACCAACACCAGCAGATGACATGGCAGCCCAAATCATCACTGACTGTGGAAACTTCACACTGGACTTCAAGCAACATGGTTTATGTGCCTCTCCACTCTTCCTCCAGACTCTGGGACCTTGATTTACAAATGAAATGCAAAATTTACTTTCATCTGATGCTGGTGCACCTTTTCCTACCACACTTTTTCCTTCCACTCAACTTTCTATGAATATGTTTGGATACAGTACTCTGTGAACAACCAGCTTCTTTAGCAACGTAATATTCTAATTTTCTGAGACACTGAATTTTGGGTTTTCATTATCTGTAAGCCATAATCATCAACATTTCAAGAAATAAAGGCTTGAAATATTTCACTCTATGTGTAATGAATCTATATAATATATGGGTTTCACTTTCTGAAATGAGTGACAAAAAATATTGACCTTTTTCATGATATTCTAATTTTTTTAGATGTACCTGTATATATACTGTTTGTTTTTTTATTCCATGCTTAAAATCTCTGGAGATTTTGATGAGAAAGCAAATTAATTTGGGAGAAACAGATCTCCAGTGATCAAGATTTCAAATGTCTTTCATCAGATTTTTATGCTCTACATTTTCCTTGTCATGTCTTTAATTTATAGCGTGTTAATGTGTTGCAGTGAGCTGCATGTGTTCTTGTGTTTCAGATGAGGGTGTGGATGGTTCTGTGATGGCTGGAGCTGCTAATGAATCCCTGGAGTGTGGCTCTATTTAATCAGGTTTTGAGGGGCCACCTCATGTGATCTTTTATTTATCCCTTTGACCCGGGGTTGAACGGGAGCGTGGTCATCCCGCTATAGTCCCACCTAATGGAGACTGCTGGGGTCCGATTGAAAGCAGTCAGACCCACCCAGCCATATCTAATGAGCCAGCTGACACTTCTCTGCCTGCTCTCTTTCCCCTAAAAATAATCGAGACTGCATCGGCCGACAAAAAACAGAGGGGGTGTAGGGGGAAGTGACTCCATCAGCAATGTAATGAGGTCTGTAGAACAAGCTGTGAGTCCTTCATGGCACTGGTGAGGATGTTTGACCCCTGGGTGACACCAGCAGGCACAATCAGGACAAGGACGGGGGAGGGGTTCACCAGAAGATGACCAATTACAAATCTCCAGCTCCAGACGGGTTATTTTAGCCCTCGCGAAAAGCGGTTAACAAACAATGTGCTCCACAGTCCTGTCAGTCAAGTTGTTTTTGAGGGCGAGATGTTAAGGAAGCCTCTCAAGTACAGAGCAAGAGTGGTGGAGAAACTTGAACAGTCTGTCGTTCTGTCTATCTGTCTGTCTGTCTGTCTGTCTGTCTATCTATCTATCTATCTATATCTATCTATCTATCTATCTATCTATCTATCTATCTATCTATCTATCTATCTATCTGTCTGTCTGTCTGTCTGTCTATCATCTGTATGTCCATCTGTTTGTCTGTCTATATATTGTCTGTTCTGTGTTTCAGTTTCAGTTTCAACAAGAATGCCAACTTGCAGAATAATTTTTCTTAACTGAATGAACCGATTTGCTTAATTTCCAAGTGTAGTTACTATGGTTCCTTGTTCCAAATTTCTGCGAGTGAGTTGTGGCTTTTTTAATTTTCCACACTAATTAAAGAAAGACATTACAACAAAAAGTCAAATTTTAATTGCTAATTATTGTGGGGCCGCATTTGAACATGAAAACCCGAAGCACAGGGAGGGGTTAAAAGAGTTGACTGATCGATGACAATGGCTTGATCTCTTCTGCCCCGAGCAAGAGAGGCAGGTTGTGAGGAGAGAATTAACGTGTTTGTTTAATTTATCCACGACAAGAGACGCTTAATCATGCCCTGCTGACAGATACAAAAAAAAAAAGCAGGAAAAACGTACAAGCAGCAGTTATCCAGTCAGGTTGAAGCATCGCATGGTAAGCACTCTTATTTTCTATCTCAACATTTAGCCACGGTGGGACTAATTATCAACTTTTTCTCTTCTTTTTTTTTTTTCTTTTTTCATGAAACAGCCTTAGTGCACTATGGCCGGGATGTAGCCTGCCTCTAGACCCTTAGGTCCTGAGGAATTCATTGTTCATTTGACTAGCGCTCATGCTAGACGACCCTACACATCCACTCGCAGACACCCCCAGCACCACCCGTCGCCTTGTGATATGCTGGGATGCTTTTTAATTAGAAAGGATTTTCTAAGTGAAAAAAGATCATTCCACAAGAAATTCATGCCGGCAACCCCCCAAAGCCCATGTGAGGTTCATTTGTATACTGACATGGATGCCCAAATATAGCAAGACCGCATTCGACATACACGATCTTGTTCATCAGCTCGCTGCAGTAATGGCATATTGATTACCATTTGTTAGTATGCATACTGCAAATGAAGATATACAAGGATATGGAATTTCACCACTAATAGTTTAGTCAATGAGCAATTAAATCACAATTCCAAATTTGAAAGGCAAATGATAAATCCATTGACATTTCTAGCAGGAAGATATCAGTGTAATGAATGACTTCCTGTTGGAAGCTGATCAAAAACAAATATTGTTTAAAAGCAGGGCGATTCAGGACAGTATTGTGTATTTGTAAAAGTTATGACTCTGTAGAGAGTGTGTACAAAGAGTTCCAAAGGGAAAATAGCTCCCTCCCTTTGGCTTTACAGCATGCTGTAATCATATAGTCAGTCAAGTATGTCAAAATTTCATCTTTATTCATCATTAATTTGATTCGCACCAATCAGGAACTGGGGTGGTGCATGAACTCCGCTGACTTCCAAACACCCGTTTTTCATCTAATCCAGCCCCTGAAGCTCTGCTCATGGCCAATGTCCACCTGGTCAATGGTGATAATATTTACTCAATGTGTTTTACTTCTGTTTAGGTGGTTTGGAACTATTTTGAGAGCTTTTGGATGCAAAATCAGTCGCAACAGTGAACCATACAAACTTTATTCTCTTTAACATTGCATATCAATGAGCTCATCGCTTGTTTCTTCGAGGTTTGTTCTTCCTAACTAAGCCACGTAAAGCCAGGAGAGACATGAAGGGCTCAATCTGCTCATCCCTGGTCACCTCTGACCGCTATGAAAGGGAATTAAACAGGACTGGTACAGTTGGGGATATATTAAGTCAAATGTAAGCCCGTCATAGCGGCACTGAGCAGGTAGAAGAGACGTCCCAGTCGCCCAAGGATGGTTTTGATGCCGCACACTTGACGTGGGGAGGGAGGGTATAAAACGCCTTAGGTGTGATGAAAAAAACACGAGAAGCTGGGGCAAACGTTTCTAGTTACAAATGCTAGCTGAAAGGCACTCTGCCTGCTCTTAAGGTGAGGGAAAATATATTTACATCTGCTTATTTTGGTGCAATCACTGTCAGGAGCTCGCAGGTTCAGGGTGTGGGCTGAACCCACGATAATGATCATGATAAAACTCTGTGTTTGGAAGGTAATAAATGAAATGGCTTCATCAACAGTTATCTATCTGTCTGTCTGTCTGTCATTCTTCTATCTATCTATCTATCTATCTGTCTGTCTGTCTGTCTGTCATTCTTCTATCTATCTGTCTGTCTGTCTATCTATCTTCCGTCTATCTATCTATCTGTCTGTCTGTCTGTCTGTCTATCTGTCTGTCATTCTTCTATCTATCTGTCTGTCTGTCTGTCTATCTATCTTCCGTCTATCTATCTGTCTGTCTGTCTGTCTATCTATCTATCTATCTGTCTGTCTGTCTGTCTGTCTATCTATCTATCTTCCGTCTATCTATATGTCTATCTGTCTGTCTAAACGTTTCTAGTTACAAATGCTAGCTGAAAGGCACTCTGCCTGCTCTTAAGGTGAGGGAAAATATATTTACATCTGCTTATTTTGGTGCAATCACTGTCAGGAGCTCGCAGGTTCATGGTGTGGGCTGAACCCACGATAATGATCATGATAAAACTCTGTGTTTGGAAGGTAATAAATGAAATGGCTTCATCAACAGTTATCTATCTGTCTGTCTGTCTGTCATTCTTCTATCTATCTATCTATCTATCTGTCTGTCTGTCTGTCTATCTATCTATCTGTCTGTCTGTCTGTCTATCTATCTATCTGTCTGTCTGTCTGTCTATCTATCTGTCTGTCTGTCTGTCTGTCTATCTATCTATCTTCCGTCTATCTATATGTCTATCTATCTGTCTGTCTGTCTGTCCGTCTAAGTGTCTGGAAAACCATCATTTTGAGAGGCGGATCATTTCTGAACCGCCAGACA